GGTAATAGCTCATGTGACAGACCTCCAATATGATAAAGAAATATCCAAATGTTGTACAGTTTTTGTCTCTATTTTCACTTGAAACTGAAACTATTATACGGCGCTTGGAAAGACCCGTCTCTTATATTTAACAACACACACACACACACACACACACACACACACACACACACACACACACACACACATATATATCTGAAGATTTCTGAAAAAAAGCAAGTGTTACGAACCGATGGTGGTTATAACGGTGACAGAGTAGAGCAGGGCTCCCGTAAAAGACCACTGCAGTTCGACTGTAGTCGTGTCATCACTGCCGTCCCAGCCTCCTTCCTTGACCGCCTTGAACACCGCGAACTGGAAGTCCTTTAATTTGTCATTGACGCTCTGCTTCCAGTGGTCTTTGTTCAAGATGTTCAGGCTTTCAGTATAGTTCCACAGTCGGTCTACGGCCTGCCTACAAATAATAATAATAATAATACTAATATTAATAATAACAACTCACACAAGTGTCAGACAGAGACCAGCTCCCAAAAATTCATATGACTAAGTCCAATAAGCACATTGTGAAAATATACAACGCTGCACTGGAAACAATGTTAAAAGATAAACGACTGGGAAACAGCTACTGGGAAGCTTGGGGTTAAGACAATGAAAAAAAAAATAACAACCAAAGAGAGCCAGCTTGGAAGGCAAAACTGGTTCGAGAAAAATAAAGGAAATCAGATGTGCGCATTTTATATTAGATGAGTTCACTAGAAACACAGATATCTCCACATGCAAGTTCAAGAAGATCAAGCGGAAATATAAATTAAATCCTTAATTGAAATTCCATCAATCAAGGAAATGCTGAAACAGAAACTTCAGTTAAATGCACGGAGAACAAGACGATACGAAAAACGTTGTAAGTTCTATCGCCAAAATAATATATTCCAAATATTCCTTAAGAAATTTTACAGGTAAATTGGAAAAGCATCTATACATGTGGCAAAATCACCATCTATTGACAATGTGGAGAAATTTTGGGCGAAAATTTGAAGTAGCCCAAAGGAATATAACCCAAATGCAGAATGGATCCAACGTGGAAAAAAACGAATACTGGATAAAGCTCTGCAAGAGTGGGAAAATATAACCTCAAATAATGTTAGGCAATTTATATATATTATTATAGGCCGATAAAATATTTCTCCACCACATATAAATTGATCAGGTCTGTCCTTACGAACCGTACTTACTCTTTTTTTCAAAGCAAACAACATTCTTCCATTGAAACAGAAGAGATGCAGGAGAGGTTCATATGGTTGCAAAGATCAGCTACTGATAAACAAAATGATCCTGGAAAATTGCAGGAGACGACGTAGAAATCTTAGCGCAGCGTGGATTGATTATCGTAAAGCCTTTGATAGTGTGCCACACTCTGGGATCCTGAAGACTTTGGAAAGGTAAAAAGTTTCCCCTGTGGTAGCAAATTTTCTTAAGCAAAGCATCGGAATGTGGAACATCACACTATACCTAAATCCCACTAGAGGCACTGCCATCTCCAACCGTCTAAATATCCGATGTAGAATCTTTCAAGGAGACTCCTTGTCTCCCCTTCTGTTTTGTTTGTTCTTAATACACCTTGCGCAGGAACTAAGCAACAGTAACTATTATTACAAACTAAACAAAAAATATTCAATCACCTACTCTACATGGATGAACTCAAACACTTTGCCAAAGACGACAATGAGTTGAAGCGTCTCCTCAATATTGTAAAATGTTTCAGTGACGACATAGGTATGGACTTGTACAAAAGTAACATTCAAGAAAGGAAGAATTACAGAAACACCCTTAATAGATTTAGACTTTGTCACAAAGATTAGGGAACTGGGACAAGAAGAAGCCTATAAGCACCTAGGAATTAGCGAATGAGATGGTATACAGCATACCCAAATGAAGGAGAGGGAAGAAAGGAGTGCTGCGGGCGTGTGCGTCTGGTACGGAATACCGAGCTGAATTAAAAAAAAAAAAACAGAACAATAGCCATCAACACATTGGCTGTCCCTGTGGTGCAATACAGCTTTAATGTCCTTAACTGGACCATAGCTGAAATTAAGCGAATGGACGCCAAAACGAGAAAGCTTCTCACTTGCTACCGCATGCATCATCCCAAAGTTGATGTTGATTGTCTGTATGTGCCCAGATCTGAAGGAGGTAGATGATTAGTTCAACTAGAACTGTCTTACAAAACTAAACAATTGGACTTCTAAGATACCTGGAAACTACAGAACATGAAAATAGTAAGCGACTTTGTTCCGTAATAAAGGAAGCCAACAAGTTCAAAATGGAGTTTCAAATGGGTGCAGAAATAAAAGTGAAGCATAATACATCGACTGAAGCTGCAAAATATTTAAAAAAGGAAGCAAAAGCAACCGATCAGATACAGAAACGATCGTAAAATAAATCGCTTCACAGTCAATACTCTGCCCGTACCAAAAAAGCTGATGTAGACAAACACCGTACCCATCAGTGGCTACGTAGTGCAAGGTTAAAAGCTGAAATTGAAGGTTTTATCCTTGCTGCACGGGACTAATGCTTGTTTAGTAGAAATTATCAAGCATATATACTAAAATATTGCGTTTGCCCAAAATGCAGATTCTGTGATCAGCTTGCAAGGTATTGGCACCTACTGAATATAAAACCCACCATAACAGGGTGGGCCAATAACTGCACTGGAAAATCTTCAACTTCTACGGGAAGGAAACTGAAAGAAATTTGTATGAACACCACCCAGACCCGGTTACTGAGATAGGATCTGTAACAATTTTATGGAACTACGCAATACACACAGACAGAAAAATCAAAGCTAACTGCTCAGACATCGTTATTAGGAGCAGCAAACAAAAAATGTCTCCTTATTGATATGGCAGTTCCTACATACTGCAATGTATCTTTGAATATCTTCAAAATGCTATCAAAATGCAAGGAATTTGAAATCAAAATCTCAGATATGTGGCACATGGGAACATCAACAATCCTTGTTATAGTTGGAGCCCTCAGATTGGTTGGAAAAGGTTCCAACAGACTAATTGAAGGGATTCCTGGAAGCTCATACCTTAAAGAAATACAAAAATTGTTCTCACGAGTACAACCCACACATTGCAAAGGACTTTATGTAAAATATGTCTTTTTTTTTTTTTGGTCAGTGGAAAATGTCATGATGCCATTTCTGACGTTAGGTCTCTGGGTGGGACCCGAAAAGAAATTTGTTCACTCTAGAAATAAAATGAAATAATAATAATAATAATAATAATAATAATGAAACAGTAATGAGCAAATTGATCAGCGTTAACAACTTCTAACATTATTTAATTACCCGAAGACGCTAGTTTAAATCGATCTCAATAAACCATGCTTCAATACACTGGTCTGTGACATTCCTTACAAAAATTGATCTTATTGAATATTCTGAAATATATTCTAGAAACCCGGCTACACCACCGCTGCCACCACCACCGTTAAATTTTTGCAGATTAAAGTTGGCTGGAAAGCATGGAGCCGGAAAGAAGTTTCACAAGCGAAAATTACGAGAAAATAAACTGCTATCATAGAATTTACAGTTACATCTATAAGAGCTCAACTGTAAATTTATGTGATCTCGACGCCAGTCTAGTACTGCGCGTAAATCCAAAAAGTCTAGGTACCATAGCGAAGAGTTCATCCGAACAATTACCATGAAAGTATTTCTAGGAAAGGTACAGAGAGGCAACCTTACGGTGGCGGGGAAGTGACTGAATCTGAGACGCCTGATCCGGGCCAATAACTTTGCTGATTTGGATTTTATCAAGGAACTCTAGATAAATAGTGGCAGCAATATTCGAAGCATAGCATGACATATAGACATGTAAGACAGATTCTGGAGAGAAAAATTGTCCAACACGACACATTGAACCAACTGACATAGCAATTAATTCAATATCGTCTTTCCACTTCATGTCAGCTGAGACTGTTAGCCAGAGAAAGTGCACCGAGCAACTCTCCTGGAGGTCAGCATCATCTAACCTGATGGAAAGGAGAGATGAGTCTTTTAGATCTATACATATATAAAAGACAGAATGTGTGTGTGTGTGTTCGTTTATATGTTTGATCGGATCTCCTACATTTTTCAACCGATTTCAACCAAATTTGACACAGTTTCTGCTAATGGTCCTGCAGAAGTTTTGACGCCAAAAATTGATTTAAGTCAATATTTAAATCAATATTATCGATTTTTCATTTTTGATTGGGCACACGCGTGTGTAATTATGTGCATTTACTGCACACAAGCAGATATGGCCATTTTTTATGTCAGAATTAATAGCGGTAGCATAATCAGAAAAAAGTCATTTGAGGGGACATCGGGGGACTGTTATGTCTTTTCATGCCGTTTAGATGTAGCAAAAGGCACCTATTCGCTATAATTTTACTACTGCTCATCACTGCCCAAAAACGTTTTCGCACGTTTTCATCTAAATTCGTGCCACTTAAATGCCTTCATCATCCATCAGTAAACGAACTTAACATTGCTTCAAATTTTGTTTGTAAGAAGAGTAAAAACGCTTGTATTTTCAACTTTTGATCAATAAAACTACCTCATATGTCCTGGCTGTTCAAAATTTTCAAAGATAAATGAAGCTTGAAAATCCCATTTTCTGATTGGTTGAATTTGAGATATTGCGGTACATTGGTGACGACGTAAATCAAAAAGGCAATGCCTATTTTAGGATAAGGAACTACATAGCTTTCATATTTATCAATAAAAACCCGATACAATAAAGTCGACAGATACTATTTTGAAACGTCATCCACCACTGTGCACTGCTTTGACTAACCCAGCTGGAGGTTAACCAATCGCATCAACTGTTCAAGGTTGCTGCGACCTCATTGGCACGGTTGCAAGCGTTTAAGCTTGGGCCCATCCAATCATATGCGCAAGCAGTTCTCTTACGCACGCGTGTGCACGTGCGTACGTACGTCACCTTAGTATGTCAACCGACCAACCGCCTCTTTATACCATAACTCGCACGCGTGTTCACGCTTCTGCGATTATTGTCCCGCACTTGACTCCCTTCATTCGCTTCTTACGGAAACCGCAAGTTGTTGATTACGTATCCAAACTGTTTTTTTTTACTTCTTAGTTATAACTACATCCGTTTCCGCGTTTATCGAATTTACTTCCCAAATTCCGTTTTAGCTTTAATTGAAGTTTTTAAACTTTAGTTTTTTTTGTCTTTGATCCCCTTTTGATACAGTTACATACATTTTTGGGATCCCTCTAACCTGCCTACGTTTAGATTACACGTATTTTTGCACTCAAAATTACCTACATACCTTTTATTATATTTGCCTTTTTAAAATTGGTTAAAATGCCACCTAAGAGAAGAAAACTTTTTGGACGGCGCACGGCTGCTGCCTCTGCTACAGGAGCAGCAAGGACAAGTGAAACCACAGAACACGCTTCGTTGAGCCTTTCTCAGATGGTCTCACCCTCTGCTGCCCGCATCTCCACGGAAAGTACCGCTGAACGGACTGAAAGTAGCATCAGTTATGTCATCACGAGGCGCTAGACTTTCAACTGAAGAGCGTATAGTACAGAATTCACAGGACGCAATAGGCGTTTCTAGGGCCAGGGACCCGAGTCCCCAACACAGACAATCCTTCAGTGTTTAAGGAATGCTGGCACTACAGCATATTCTAGAGCTTTAAAAAGCCCTGAACAAACCACTTTGCGTCATCTTAGGAATGCTAGGGCTACAGCATCTTCCAGGGTTCCGGAACAACCTCAACAAACCGCTATTTGTAGTTTAAGAAATGCCAGCGTTAATGGTTCTGCCAGAGCATTAGAAAGTCCAGTGCAGACTGCTAATCGTTATTTGAGGAATTCCAGATCTACTGCGTCTGCCAGAGCTTCAGAAAGCCCTGGGGTACGGCGAGCACTGCTCAACAACAATGGCCAAATCGCAAGGACAGACGCTCAGCGTCACGGGTCTGCATTTAAGTGAACAGTGTTTTGCCCATGGATAGCTTTACGTAGGCTGCTCCCGAGTCGGGATTAAGGATAACGTTTACGTTTACTCTCCAACAAACAAAGCTAAAAATATTACCTACGCAGAAGTTCTATAGCCCATGGTCGGTCACGTTTAAATGCAATGTACGAATCTCTATGTCAGCTGCATCGTAGGTTCCTTCATTTTTTAACCCAGTTTATTTAAAGGTCGTCGTCGTAGTATCCATTTGAAATTACTAAGACATTTCATTAAAGGTTGTCTTGCTCACCAGATGCTCCTTTATCACTTAAACCCCACCATAGTTGCATTCGCACTTATATGTCGACCACGTAAACATATTCAGTTGTAACACAAAACCAATACGTGGGAAGGTGGATTCGTTTAATTGTCAGAGAAGTCGAGTGCGTCCATGCAATTCAGGTCTCAGCAAAAAGATGTGCGATAATAAAAGAATAGCCACATGCAGATTTATAATATGCATTATCTGCCGTACACCGTTGGTGTGTTTCTCCTCTTACCATAAGGGCTGCTTTAGGTAACGTTATGTGCGCTTCATGCTCGCCTCAACTGGCTATTAAAAACTACAAAAAAAATTTGTGCCACTTACAAGTACTCGCCCGCGACACCTTCCCATACTTCTGTTATGTGGTTCTGTTTGCGGTAGTGGCAGCACCGTCTTTTGGGCAAAAGACGGGTCTACCTTTCACGCTGTTGCATTTTACTACGTTGCAACTGACACAGGGCTTCATGTAATGTCTTACACTCAGGGATAATAAAACCATCCCATCAGAATACAAAGCCATCTGCCACAACTCACCAAAACATTTCTAAGGCCCGTGTTCGTATTGAACTTGACAACTTTTAATTGGAGGTGTCTTAGTAATGGCAAACAGCTGACGCTACCATAGATGTCCATTGATTCCTTTTAAGCTTAATTTTTTTCTCTTCCGATGTGCTTATTAATACCGACAGCTTGTGTACATTACATTTTTTACGTGGGCGGTCATCAGTTCTAAATGAGTATGGCGGTTATGACCTTCCATTCAGAGGAAGGTCACTCCCGGGCAACGCCGGGCTTTACTGCTAGTTATTAATTGAGAGTAGTTTAGTTTTGGAGGTGTTAAAATTAACAAACCATCCTGTGATCAACATAGATATCAAACTGAGAGCTGGTTCCATCAGAAATGCCATTAATGAAAATTAAAAACAAAGGACCAAGGATGGAGCACTGGGTGACACTTGTATTAGTGCATAATAACTCAGAGGGATTTGCGGACATATGTTTATATGAATGATTGTAAAAGTATTTTTGATACACTCTCTCTCTCTCTCTCTCTCTCTCTCTCTCTCTCTCTATATATATATATATATATATATATATATATATATATAGTGTACAAAAGTTCTCAGAACTCTATTACAAATGAAATACACAGTTAAAAACTGACTTTTTCCTGGAAAATTTTGCACACCCAATATTTTTTCTGTTTTTACGTTTAGCAAAATGAATTGAATTGAATGAATAATTTCTACTTGTTAATCCATCGTCACGAAAATAGCCAGTCGAAGAGAGATAAGAAATGATACTTCTTGAATCAACACTAAGAAGACACCGATAAACATATTTATAAATAATTTGTTTAGTAATTTATAAAAATCACTGAACTGAAAAATCTGGCGTTGCTTGCAAAATGAGCTATTTTAATTCCATTGGTTTTTTTACGTTTTATCAATTTTTTTCCAGGTTATTTAAAGTCAGAAAATATTTTTAGATTGTAAGAATGTTTTGGAGATAATGATTTACTGATAAAAGTTATACTAATTAACCGACAGCGGTGGGAAAGAGAGGCGGATTCATACTATTACCAAGGGTAATTGCGAATATAACGAACCCGACTGGAATTGGAACTCAGTCCTCCAATATCCAATTCGGAGCCGTTATTCATTAAACCACCCGCGTATGCAAGCTTACAGCACCTTGTATTCTAAAGCGGACACCCATCAATGTCATAAAATTACCAATCAATTTTGAATTTAATATATTTACAGTTCTTATTTTTTGATAATGTTGTATGAAGATCGTGTTTACAAAAATTGGAAAGCTAATACACTGAAAAATGAAATTTAAAATTCTTTTTAAAATAGTAGGAGTCGCTGAATTGTAGTAAGATTTTCCATTTACGGTTAGGAAATATAGTTTTTAGTTAATAACAATATCACCTAATCGGTACAAATTAATAGGAATTTTGAAAGATTTAAAACCATACAAATTATTACAATCAAAATAAAAAAAATAAAACTTTAAAAAATTCTAAACATTCATTATTATCGAAATAATCTTTTGTCTTAAGACATAACTGTCTATACTATATCTTATTCATAAATGCAAATAATAATTTGTCTAATTAAATAATGTTTTAGTTTGATTGCGTTCAGAACAGATTTTCTGTAACTGAGGGTCCTGTTTGACCAAGAAAATTGATGAGTTAAATTCTCCAAGTCTTGTACTTAAAACTAATATAAATATTAAGAAAGTGATTTTCTCGAAATTTTATAAAATTAAATAAGTGCGGAGTAATAGATGTAAAAAAAATATTTTCACAAAGATTTTCTAAGAAAAAAAAGTTTTTAAAATAACTTCATTAATTTGTAAATAAGTCATGAAAGTTTCATTAAAATACAACGATTATTTGATTTTTGTAAGAATTTACAAAGGAATCTTTTATCACCGCAAAAAGATGCTAAAATTCCCCATACTAGTTTATGATTACCTGTTAAAGCAAGAGCCAAAATTAATAAAAAATTTAAACATGCAAAAATATTAAGTAATAATAAAAATTCCTTTCGTCTTTCCTTTTAATAATAACAAAGATTTTGTCGATAAAACTGTTTTTATTAAGTTTGTTTCATTTTTAGTTATGTATTATGCTAATGTTCAAGCTGATCTTTTTGAGGGCATATACATATATATATATATATATATATATATATATATATATATATATATATATGCGGATATGGATTGCAGAGAGTATAACCAGATATAGATTTTATTTGAATTTTGATCTTTTCATTGGCATAAAGTCCGATTCATGTAATTAACAGAGAGAAGCCGGAGATTAATTGTACTGACAAGGAGGGACATTATGTTTAACAATAAATACTTTTCTGTAAAATAAATATTTTTGCATCATTAGATCATTTTTTATATATAAAAGCGTATATGTATATATGTATATATATATATATATGTGTATATATATATATATATATATATATATATGTATTGATTAGAATTTTAAAATATATTTATAAGAAAAGAATACTCAGTATTGAAGACAGAGCGTCAATAGATAAAGACACTGACATAGGACTCAACTCCATGGTAATTGTCAGTATAACGCTTCAATGCGATATTAAAAAAAAACAGTTATATAGAGAGCGGTGTGTACAGTATTAGAAATAAAGAAAAGAAACTGAGAAGGGGCAGTTTTCTCTTTCACTACTTCCTTTCAACTCCCGAGTGACATATATACAAATCCTGCAATAAATAGATTCCTTTTGAAGGAGTAATTACACTGAAAATCACAGTGAAGCGTGAAACTAACAGTCTCTATGCAATGTTGATTTCAATTTCCACACTATCTATATATCTAAGTTTGGTTAAAAAATATTTTCGGTTTTCAAACATTAACCTTAAAGCAGTATATCTCAATTTAGAATAAAATTTATCTTAGAATAAGAAATAGACAGTTGATTTGTAGGACATCGAATGGGGAAAATGTCTTGGAGAATTTGGCACCGGCAGGACATACTGAAAGCAAGAGGGACAGAGGGAAACAGTGGATCACTTACCTAACAAGCTTATGTAAATGAAGACAGAATAGGCAATGAGTGAGATAGTAAAAAGACAAAAATTGTTAAGGGCTACAAACGATCGTCTACATACTGAATGGATACGGCACAAAGAAAGAAATATATTAGAATTTACTTTTTCTAATCAGGTAGCATAGAATTCTGGAATACTGGATCCGATCTAGTCATCGAAATTGTTTGAACCGCTTCGCGCAAGAATATATATTAGATTTCCTCAGCACACTCAGATCAAATC